TAGACATATCCCTATCCTATATACCCAATTTTCGAACCTACGGAGTCTTAACAGCTCCGGGGGACCTGGGAACCGAACAGAACCCACGGAGATTCAGCCACTCCGTGAGGAAAGAATTGCCGAATCCGCGGAGCCTAAACCACTCCGGGGTCAAAGAACCGAGTTTGTCAGAGTCCTCCAACAAGGATTCAAACGGAGCTGCGCCTGGAAAGCTGTCCAGCTTACACCGCGACCACCTTGGGTGTAAGTAAATAATCTTTTCAATCAACCATTATGCCTCCGTAACTGATTCTAGCTTGCACGTACCTTACCGCCCCGTGGTTTTCTCCGGCCCCGTGTGCCCGGGCTGCTGGCCACAGTCCGCGTGCGCAAAGACGGATGCACATGGCAAGGATGGGATCAGGAGCCGGCCCGCACAAGCTCCACTGACTAGTCCCTAGAGAGAAGTGGATCTGGTGAGGGAATCTCCCTAACATCTCCCATAGTTTCTCAGCAATGACTGTCATCCTTTAGCACCCCTTTTAAACTCTGATCATCCCAGAGGCCCAACTAATGCCCTGGCAGGTCTTTAGCATCTAATATACTTCAAGAATTTTTTATCGTTACCGTTTAATGTTTGTCCTCAAATTCTTTCTTTGCTTGTCTTATTACAGGGTTTTTTATTTTTATCCTTAGGATTTGACTTCTACTTTTTGAAAGAAACCTTTTTTGCTGGTATTGCTTCTACAACTCTGTCATTAAACCATGCTGGTTTTCTTTTGATCCACTTTTCAGTTTTCTTTTGATTTGAGGTATGCATTTGCTCTGTCTTCAATATGGTGGTCCTTAGCAATTCCCATGCTATTTGCAAGTTCTTCACCTCTTTAGGGGCCCCTTATCTTCTGTCTAACTATCTTCCTGGTTTTGATATAGTCGCTCTTTTTAAAGTTAAAGGCTACCATAGTAGATTTTTTTCTAGTCTCCACTCCTACGTGAATGTCAAACCCAAATGCATTGTGGTCACTACTGCAGAGCAATTGCAGAGTAACACTTACCTTTTGCACCAAATTCTGTGCACTACTTATAGGACTAGGTCAAGAACGGTCATTTCTCTAGTAGGTTCCAGGACTAATTGCTCCAGGAAGCAGTCTTTTATAATGTCAAGGAATTTGGTCTCTGCATCCCAGCCTGATGTTAGATTGACCCAGTCTATCTGTAGATAATTTAGTCATCTGGACTCTCCAGATGGGAGACAATTTTGTATAATTAGTACTATTTTTATCACTTTAAAAAACTGACCTACAAAGAGAGCGGAGCAGAGATGAGAATTATTATGTACTTTTTATTATTATATGATATATTAGAGAGGCAAAAGAAATACTCCTTTATTAAAAAAATAAAAATGCCAAAAAGCAACAGCAGCTGTTTTTCATTTTAGAAATATTAGGAATGTAAAATGCAGCCTTCCTTGATTTTGTAATATGACTCTGAGTCATGCTATGATGTACATGTGTACTGCAAACTTTCTTAGCCAGTAAATGAGGGGGGAGTGGATGCTGAATCTTTAATAGTTATTTCATTTATTACAATTGGTTATAAAGAAGCATGAAATTTAAACAAACCGTAATGAAAAGCAAAAAAGCCAAAAGCAAGCCTCCAAATATGGTTTTCAATATACTGAGGAAAACTCACTTCTCTGCTCAGATAAATGTAATTTGCTTGGTATCTGTGATGTGACAACTCTTCTAGTTCTCTAATGGTCCATAACATATCTTAGGAAAAAAAACAAAATACTTCCCCCAACCCTGAAATGACAAAAATTAATTTCCAATGTATAAAATAAGCAGGGGAAAAAACCCCAAACAAACAACCCTCCCTCCCCCACACCCAAACCAGACATACCTCATTATCAGGGATCTGGGTTTTCCATTTCCCATAGATAAACAACTCCCCCCCACCGAATTTCCCTTTTTAACTGCGAAAACGGTGGATTACTCATTTTAATGGAGAAATGTGGATTTTCCACCTTCACAAAGAGCTCTCTGCAGGCTGGCAGAGTTCCAGCCAGCACGGGGTGAGGGGAGTGGAAGGAAGGTGGTCAGGCAGGGGGTACCATTTGCATATGTGTGCTCATACATGCACATGGCCACCAGGCAACCTGGAGAGCAGCTCCTTGCAGGTAAGTCGTCCGGGGGGGGTGGTGGGGGGGAGAGTGGGGATTGAAGCCCTCATAGGAAGTGAGGATGTTGGGCAGGGCTGGGGCTTCTGCCCAGCCAGGTGGTGCATGGGATTTGGGGCTGACATGCGGGGCCGCAGGCCTGGGAGGCTCCTCCACAGGGTGGGCGGGGGTGGGGGGGGATTGGCTTCCTGCCAGTGCGCACACTGCTGAGGGGAGGAGGGA